GGGTTGCCATAAGTCAAAAATGACTTGGAGGCACACAACAACAAACAATAGGGGCTTCCTAATCAGCTGGGATTTAAAAAGGAGAAGAGGAGGAAGATGGTGTGGATGGACTTTTCCTCCTTGGGGCTCCCAGCCTCCTCACCCCCCCCACTCCCTTTTTCCTGGCACTCTGAGCATGTACAGAGTGCAAACTGCTTCTGGCTGAAAGGAACCGCCAGGGATGGAGCAGAGACCTTTTTTTCTTTCCCTTTTTCTTTTTAAAGAAGAGAGGGAGGGTTTCTCTGGGGCTTTCTTGCCTGGCTGCTCCATCCTATGGTTTCAATGGTTGGTCTGGTGAGTGTGGGGCTACTTTCCTGGCTGCTTTCCCCACTTTTTTGGCTCTTCAGGGTGACGTCTTAACCCTAAAAGGAGGACAAGTAGGACCTCAAAATGGAGGAAATTCCAGGGTGGGGGAAAAAAAAGGAGGACATGACCCAACAAAAGCTCAAAACATTAATAGAAATAATAAACCCATGCTCCTGGAGAGACAGGTTGGAATGGAGGACAGGTCCTGGAAAAGGAGGACACCTAGTCATCCTGGCAAAACAGAACCAACCTTCTGGCCTGTTGTTGTTTTTTAAACAACAACAATATAAATATAAATCTATGTTTCTTAGTCATGCTCCAAATGGAGGACATTTGGGAATTCCTCCTGGAGAGAAGGCTTGAAATGGAGGGCAAGTCCTGGGAAAGGAGGACATGTCTGGTCAACCTGGAGAAACAGAAACAACCCCTCTGGCCTGTTTTCAAAAACACTTGTATAAATGGAAATTCATGCTGCTTCGTGATGCTCAAAATAGAGGACATTTGGGAATTCCTCCTGGCAGAAGGTTGAAGTGGAGGACAGATCATGGAAAAGGAGGACTAGTCTCCCTGCTTCTTTCCTACTCCTTTTGCCTCTTCTGGCCCTTCTTCCCTGTGGCTCCCCCCCCCCACGAGCTGCATCCACACTACAGAAATAATCCACTTTGACACCGTTTTAACTGCTATGGTTCCATGCTATGGAACTGTCATTTATTGTGGCACCAGAGAAGGACCAATGCCTCACCCAAACTACAAATCCCAGCATTCCATAGCATTGAGCCATGGCAGTTAAAGTGCTGTCAACCCGGATTACAGTTCGCCCTCCATACCCACAGTTGTTTTTATCCACGGATTCATGCATCCATGGACTGAGAATATTAAAAAATATATATATTACAAATTCCAAAAAGCAAAGCTTGATTTTGCCATTTTATATAAGGGACTATAAGAAACACAGCCTTACTATGCCATTGTATTTAATGGGACTTGAGCATCCATGGATTTTGATATCCACAAGAGGGTCTTGGAACCAAACCCCAGCAGATACCAAGGGCCCACTGTATTATTATTTTTGCAGTGCAGATGCAGCCCAGAAGGCAGTTGCAACCTGAATAGCAAAGTCATTCCCATTTTCCCCCTCCTCTTTCTTCTCTCCAATTTCTCAGGGATAAATAAAACAGGCTTCTCGCCCACCCACTTTTTCTCCCGCCTTCCCCTCCTCTCCCTGCACCTTTCCACCCCCACCTCCCCAATAATGTGGAAACTCAACAAGAGCGGCAAAGTTCTCCTGGACGATTCCCCTGAGGAAGAAGAGAGCCGTCAGCATGATTCGCCACCACCAGCATCATCCTCACCAGCAGCCACCTTCTCATCACAGGTAAAAAGGATACCAGACTGCTGACTGGCGATCAGATAGTATTTTTAGTTATCCTGGCCATTGTGACGCCTGTCACCTTTTGTTCTGCTTCGTAGGACAGTCTTTTCCAAGTTCCATCACCCCTGGCATCTTGGCATTCTTATCTTTGATTTGGCATTGCCGCGCAGAGGGGCAGGCTATAAATAAAACATTATTATTATTATTATTATTATTATTATTATTATTATGAGTAATCACTTTCCAGTCTCCTTGAATGCCGTAATAATGAGCCTCATGGTAAGAAGGCAGGGGTATAAACTGCTGCTTACATACCCTCTGGAATGCTGTTTTTAGTTTTTCCCCTAAAAAAATCCACGCCCAGCAGTGCTAGGACTCTTCAAAGCATTGGCTCCATACTTCCGGACACTTTCTTTTTTTGTGCCTTAGGTACAGGATAAGTCTTTTTTAATTAAACATATTGGTGGGAATGAGGGGCCATTGGAGCATAACACTACGAAAGAGTAGTGTTTGTTGGAGGAGAAAACAGAGGACTGTTCAAATTCCAACATTTATAATTAAAGCAGGAGATGGGAGATGTTTCTTACATTTTAGTATTCCCAGTAATTATGTTCAGCTATATCTGGTTTTGTCTTGAATTTTCTTAGTTGTCTTAAATTTTATATTTCTTGGTTATTGTTGTGAATATAAAATGTATTGACTCTTCTTCTTCTTCTCCTTCTTCTTCTTCTGCATTTATTATCAATAGCTTCTTAAAAGTACTACAATGGGTATTGTTATCTACTTTAAAAAAAAATTCTCTCGTAATAATTTCTTCTTGTTTCACATGTTTTATGAGGGGAGGGGAGGGTGTGAAGGGGGAATAAAAAAGTATCCTGAATCTCTGAATGTATGACTTACATCCTGATCTGTAATATATTCCCTTCAGAAATTATACTACATTATTCTATACTGTGAAAAGCAAAGACTAAGAAGTATGTCCTAGAGTTAGACATACTTATCTGAGCTTGTTGAACTTAATCAAGTTATTTTTGAGTAAACAGTCATAAGAGGGAACCTTTTATTATATTAATCTTCTGCAGTTATTTCCAAGAAGCTAACAATTTAAGTTCATAGATGCATGGTTTCTTTAAACGTAAAGCGTACAAAGTGCTGAGCAGCATGAAAAGCTTAAAGAATGCTGAACAAACTTTACAGGCACCTTTTACTTAAAATGTCCCAAGACAGTGATTTGGGTTAATGCTTGAAAATGTAAGGAAGATTATTAGGCATTAAGGAAGACTTATACAAATCTGGCTTTAACCATTTGGACTCTGTAGTTCTTATTTTATTTCTTTTTTAAAAGATTTAATGCTTGTGGAGGACACATAACTGGGCAATGACATCACTATCACTGAAAGAACAGGATGACAAGTAAACAGTTGAGAAACTGTTGGCTTGCTCACTCTCACTCCAGTCCTGATAAGGAGATCCATGAGCAGGTTTCTTACAACACTTGCTGGATCAGGAAATGAATCCTGGTGAAAGTAGCATACTGATCTAAATGATCCAGTATCCCATAGTGCTTTCATTTGACTGGGTGCACATCTTCATCCGTATTCTAACGCCATCAGTCATATCTAACTGTACATGACCAGAGCTGGATACGAATGCCTATATGGTTCTGAACTACCATATATACTTGTCTATAAGTTGAAAAAAATTGTGTAAAAAAAAAAAAACAACTGATCCCAGAATCCAGGGTTGACTTATAAACAGGTCATTATAGTAATACACTTATCCCTCCACATTTGTGGATTTGATTATTCACGGATTTTATTAATATGTTCTCTCTAGGTCCTCTAGCGCAACTCTATGGTCAACTTTAAC